ATCGCCACACTAAGCAGGCTGATTTACAACACAGTAACAGATACTGCTGCATTTTATCAGTCTTCATATTCATTATATTATTAACCCCCGACGCAAACAGTGCTATACGTTGACCTCTGGTCCCTTAGAAAGAATTAGTAAAGTTTTGCTACAATAGCCACGCCAAGCAGGCTGATTTACAATCACAGTAACAGATACTGCTGCGATTTATCGGTCTGGTTCTACAACCTTGAGGTCTTTTTGACCGTTTATATTCATTATATTACTAACCCCCAACGCAAACAAGGGGGTGTTATATATTTAACGAGTGTACATCTGTATGTTTGTGGCATCGCAGCTCCCAAATGGATGAACCGATTTAAGTTTTTTTTTTTGTTTGAAAGGTGACTTCATCGAAAGTGATCTTGGTTATGATTCAAGAAAATCTTTTCATCCGTTTGAAGATCATCAGCTCTTTTTGCTTCGTTTTTTTTAATTTTCAATTTAATATGAAATTAATTAATTGATTAATTTACGCAGACATCATGGAACAACTACGTATGAATTGTTGAGAATTTTTTGCTTTTTTTTGCTAAACATTTATTGCTTGTATGTAATATTTTAGGTCCCTAAAATAGTAAACTGTTTTTAAATCATTATAACGTAAAAATCAATTACATTACCGTCAACTCAATTTTTGGCAAGAATAAGAAACATTTCACGAAACCTTTTAACCAACAAAAGCAATAATTCTCTACAAGTTTTCGGACTCGGAGAGTATTATCGAAGAATTGGGAGGACATTAAAGGAATTCCTCCTTGCGTAGGAAACCGCGTCTTATCAACAGCGGCGAGTGGAACGGGTTTGCATAATGATAATGACACTACGAATTTTAATAGACAGCTTTCTGTGCCGGTGTTACTGTCCTGCTTATCTGTTAATGTTGCTTTGCAGTGATTGATGTGTCCGTATTGAAATGAGTTTATTCAGAAACTGTGAATCAAATTAAGCTTTTGATTCTTCAGACTAAGGTAAATTGGATCAGCGTTAAGCCGCAATGAATGGAATTGAGTTGAACCAACATTGCTTATTACGCTGGTTCGATCTTCTAAAACGTGGTTTAATTTCAGCTTCAGAAGAACTGCTTTAACATTTAGAAATGGAATATAAAATTTAATTTATTTAAAAGGTATTATAACGGAAAATATTTATTTCTTTATTTCATACAAGACGTGTTTCTAAAAGGGCTACATTTTAACTGTTTAGTAAGACTGTTGAATGTTGTTGTTTGTTTTTCTAAAGTAAAAGTAATAGTAACTAACGAACACAACGTCTGCCTGATGGTAAGTACATGCTGTGGCCCATAGACACCTAGATCTATCGTCCATTAAGAATCAAAACGCGAGTGCGTTGTTTCGCCTGAGGATTAAGGTTGATTCTTCGTCACTAATTTTTATTACTTACCATACAAAACGTAATAGCATTACGCTGATATTCTGTAAAAGCGTGTTCATTCTCCAGTTGAGTCAACCGATTCGTGCTTGGCCATCAAAAGAGAAGGTTGTCAGTCTGGAGCGCGACCACATGCCATGTGGTAGTACGAAGCTGTTCTGTACTATACAGGAATAGTCTTCGTACACCCTGATTAAGACTTCGGTTAAATTCCTGTGACGAGACGACAGTACCGCCATAACGCTCCCTGATCAAATTGAGGGTTGATATTGTAACTCCAGTGCCGACAAGCCAAGAACTCCTTCTTGACTCATCGCTGACTACAGAGCAACTCCTAGCACTGCACTTTCTAAGTAATCTGCGAAAATGCCATGAAGCAGAGGCGCGCAGCAAGAGTCCAGAGCCGTGCCGAACACTGTAGTGCAGAAAGTAGTCTGAAAGAACAGGCAGTAGCTACTGCGATGAAATTTGTTAAGACATACTGGCTTGCAGCTTTCAGTTTTCGACTTTAAGCTGAAGACTGCAAATGATGTTTGGAGGACGATGATGACTGCATGCAGTCGAAGTTTCTGTAGGTCGCAGGTTATATTTTTAATTATTACATCTGGTCACCAATTAAGCCGTTGAAGGAAAAGGCGAGATCTCGCGCTGGAAAATGTGTTCACCTCGAGCGGCCAGCTTACCCCGGAGAAGAATAAATTGCAAATATCTACTTATTTTTATTTTTTCTTTTCTTTGTAAAATCTCGTAAGTGCCTTACATTATATACTGTATTAGTGTATAAAATACACTTTTGTCTTCATTGATTATCTTTAGTTCCTCTAGGGAGCAGAGTTTCATAATGTATATATTCTATTACAATCGTTATCCAATAAAGGAAGGATGTAAGAACGACAGTTTCTAAGACTTCTATCGGGAAAAAAAAAAACAAAGAGCCGTCCCGTCCGGGCGCTTCGCAATCGAGAACTTGAGCGCCATTTTCGATCATCGAAAAGTTTCTATAATGGATTCATCCACGACTCGATTGTTCTGCGATGAATGGGCACTAATTAAAATGGAGTCACAAGGAAAGACTAAGTTCGGGATTGTTTTCGAACTATAAATCTTCGTGCTCCTCTCTCATATAAATATTGCTCAAACTTCACGGGGCAAGTTTGGTGCTAAATTTAAAATCGATATTTGGTGAATCGGTTTGAAATACGTGAATTTAATGTTTTCGCACATTGCTTGGTGCGTTAGAATTAATTCGACCGTGGTTATTATAATGTAGATAATGTACTTACCTTACGTATTTACCTTATCCTTAAACTAAAACGAAGAAACGCAAATAGTTTTTCTTCGTCTGTAATAATTATTACATTTTAAAAACGTAATGTATTTACAAAAATTCAAAATATTTATTAAATTTTAACAGTAGTATAATTTTAATAGGTAATAAAAAATTGTTATAACATTACTAAATGTTATAATTGTATAATTTTTTATAAAGTTACTAACTCTTAGGAATAACATGGAACGTCTTACAGGCTGTAAGATCGATAGTCACCTCAGCTTAAGAAAACAAAATTAAATTTGAAATGTTAATTTAGTACTTTTAATAATCCAGACGTGGTAGAGCCAACGCTACAGCTATTATGGTAGTAGCATGAATTGGTCGGTTGGACCGGGGAAGTACCACGCTCTCACAAAATACCAGCGTAAAATAGCAGCTTAATGGTGCTCTGTTTCCTATGGTGAGTGTAGAGAACCGGAAACCCGTTTTACTAGAATCGAGGCATTCCATCGTAGTCCTCAAGGGTGATAAGGTATCTTTCATTCTTCATCTTCAAGGTATTATCATTTTGATTCTTAATCTAGGTTAAATGTAGATATCTATGGGCCACAGCATTTACTTACCATCAGGTGGACTGTGTGCTCGTTTGTCAAACTTATCCTATAAAAAAATCTAGAAACTGGAACAGAGGTCAAAAGGCCGTTTGCCACATTTGAGAGAAAAACAAAACTTTCAAAATATTATTTTATATATTAGTTTATTATAATTCAAATAAAAAACGCAAAAAAAAAATATTCGAAGCGATAATATTTATCGAGTATTAACTCCGCAATACATTAATCACCAAAGCGTTTTGCTTACAAATGTTTTTACAGCTCGGTCTTTACGAGCAACGCCGAAAATTCCTGCCCGTCAACCGCCTTAGAAAAGTTATGCACACCTGATGAAGATAAATTAACGTCGTATTTCGATTAAAAGGGGGTAAATGCGAAGTTGCCACCGGAATATATCGCTTAACGAGTTTCGGATTGGTCGCGGCGCGTGACGTCACCTTGAGATCTCGCCCGAATGTTTCCAGTTGGTATCGTCCTCATAGTCACTGCTACTCGTACATCAACGTCCCAAGTTATGAAACAAACAGAAACGAGATATATGTTTGGCAGTTTGATTGTAAATCTAGGTGTGTTACATCTGTGTACACTGTACATTCACTTGAGGTATGGGAGCCTGATGTGAAAAATTACTATTTTATATGTTTCACCTGTTCTCTGTTACGGACTTATTCTTTAGGATACTCTGTGGATATTGACAGAATCTTCAAAATTAAAAAAGAGTGCCCGTGGTTGTACGCCATATTTAAGGAAATTTATTATTGTTCTCACCCAGAATTGTATGACACCTAGGCCTTTATCAGAGAGGTAGAATAAAATTATCAACAATTCATATATAAACCGCTACAAATACATTTATCCTATAAAAATAATTACTTGAAAACTGAAATTTCAAAGAAATAATGCTAACGATTAATATAAAATGTTACTGAATGATACTATGTTTACTAAATGTTACTAGATGGTAAAGACTCCCTTTCTGATTACAGGTTCGCTTAGGTAGGTAGGTAGGCTAGGTGGGTAGGCTAGGTAGGTAGGCTAGTTAGGTAGACTAGGTAGGTAGACTAGATAGGCAGGCTAGGTAGGTAGGCTAGGTAGGTGGGCTAGGTATGTAGGGTAGGTAGGAGGGGAGGCTAGGTAGGTAGGCTAGGTAGGTAGGCTAGGTAGTGCCTGCACTAGCTGTATTCGAGTCTGGAGGGTTATTTATATCAATACAATTACAATTTGTGACGTATTTTATCTAAGATAGACAGAGGTGATAACGCGGCTGTAGCTTTCTTTGTAACGTAGTAACGGAGTAAGTGACTATTATTATCAGGTGGACGTTGGTGGTGTAAGGTCGTTTAATTCTTCAATTTTATAAAAAAAATGAATTCTAGGAGAATATTTAAAGTATTTTACATACAGTTTACTATGATACGTCCGGTAGGTTTAATTGCAGCTTAAATATAGCGATTTGTCTCAAAGCAGGATGAACGAAACGCCGTAACGCAACAACACCTATCCATCTCGCCTACTTGCCGCCAATAAAAAACTAAATCACCTCCCTCACCTAATTTAATAGGACAAGCGTAGTCATTAATACACACGTCAGACCTCGTCCTACAACAAAATGCGGCTCATTTATATCTCGTCTCCGGGAGTGGGAATTATGGTAATCGGGCGAATCGTGTCCTTTGTCTGTAATGGCTGGTAATTACTGAGGCCACCTCCGGGGGGCAATACGTCTCTCCAAAGGGGCCCAGGGGCAGAGAATTCGACACTCGTTAACCAAATCGTCTCAACTTTAAAAAGGGCGGACGATTTTGAGCGTCGCCGTGGGATTTGTAGGAGCGAACTCGTTTCAGAGGCCTTGTTCCGCGGAAATAGACGCGCCGATTGTTTGCCAAATGCTCATTTCACCTTCGCTCCAATTTTCTTTGCTGTTGTCTTCATATGTGTATATTTTATTGATGTCTTATATAGGTAAAAGCAAACAATCAACGGAATATACCACACTGCGTTCCACTCCATTCGTTTTTATACCTTTCGCGCCATGTGGCAGCCGTCCACGTAACGTTTTCTCAAAGAAACCGGAGCTAGCTTACTTATTGGAAGATAAAGGGGTGTATTTCGGCTCATTTACGGCCTCGTTCGGTCCGATCAAACGTGATTTCTTATTGGAAGCGAGCGGGGAGCAGACGGCGGATGTAATATAGAACTACGGTCGACTGGAGTGCACGAGTAACTGTGGGAGCTACGAGTAACTCAGTCTCTATTACATTTTTAATAAAGCTAATGCAAAGTCGCCAATGATCTGGATGAGAATAAAATAATGTTTACATGAATATCTCAATCTGTGTGCACTTTTCAATGTAATTTATTGCATGTTAACATTAGTAGTAGGTATTATTAGTAAAATTACAAAAGTGATTTCCTTTCAGGTTTAACAAGCATGTCTTTAAAAATATTAATTATCGCTTTCTTTGCGCGATAGAGTCATGCTTTAGCTAATATGATTTATGGTTGTAGCTCGAATCGAAGAAGGACCACGCTATCACGGAATACCAGCGGAAAATAGTGTTTCGAATAGTGAGCGTTGAGACCCGAAAATCTTTTTTATTGGAAACTAGGCTTTCTATCTTGGTTGTCAGGGGGCCATAGAATCTACATTTTGATTTGTAATCGAGGATAGATTCAGATGTCTATGGACCACAGAATCCACTTTTTAAAAAGGGAGCAAAAATGATCAAACAAACTTAAAATGTAATGAATCGAATCGACGGTCGAATTTCGACTACTAGACGACCACTACATTAGCAAAATTAATATATTATGAAATACATGTTATTCTACCAATATGCGTGCATCCATGTTCAAATTGGAGCACATACCGTGGCTAGTCAGTTCGAGTTATTTAGATATATCATAACGAAAATAAAGGTATTAGAAGAAAAAGGCGTGTATAAAAAAGTTTACAATGTAAAAAAATACACAAATTAGAAATATTTTTATTTTCAGAATACAGTAAAAATTAATGAGCTAGGACATGGTGTGTGCAATGTATTCAGCCTGCGTGCTGCTGTGCCATAAATTCTTATCAATTTAATTACACAATTTAAGAGGTTTCATAAAATTTAAGTTTTATTACAATATTAAATAATATATTAAAAAAATATGAATTAAAGTTACACTTCAATTTGATGTAAAAATTTTAAATTAAAATGCCATAAATTCTTGTATGCTATAGAAGCAATATCTCAAGAGGTCAAATGGGATCTAAATTTAATTTCTCTTTTCGTCTCAGTTTTGAGTCTCAATCGTTCCACTGTTAACAAGGAAGTTTCCTACCGCTCGATGTTTTCTATTTTCGCTTGAGAAACGTTAAATTCATTAATCTCTAATTACTTGAACGGGTCGCTTCAAAGGCGTCTACAAAAGCACCCGAGCGATATTATACCGAACCCCAGTCGCTTTCCTTTCGTTGAACCGAAAAAAATAACACAAAAACCCTTTTACAATTAATTGAGTTTTGTTGCGGTTACATTGGCCGCTACAATAAATTAATTAACGCTCGAAGGAATCCTTAAAATTTGTCGGGGATCAAAAGTTGGCTCGTGGAGTATGAGGAAAGATGGGGGATTATATTTCGATTTTCCATTAGCTTATAACGATGGGAGAGGCCGCGCCTTGATTTGAGCAATAGCTCGTGATCTAATATATTTCCTTTATTATCTAACCACCGAAACACGCGATCTTTGATCCATTTCCACGGGCCGATATTTGCTTAAGAGGCGGTAGCGAGCGACGTTTGGCCCTAATTGAATTTGAGCCTGATTTTCGTGGTCGATATTAATAAACGGCCCTGCTGTAATTCATTATGACCGCGTCGAACGTTACTTCTATTGAGAACTTTGGTTAACCTCAATTTATTACAAAACAGCGTCTCAAGGTAAATCATTAAAATGGATTATGTTTGAACTGGCAGTTTCCTAAACAATAGTGGCACATTATAATGTCAAGTCATTACAGAGATCGATTAATAAAGACTAAAATATTTGTAAAAGCTTGACGGAATAGAGAAATCTCATTGATCTTGAATTTGTAAAATAGCTCTAATGCGTCGACTGGGGAAGGAACACGTGCGCCCAAAATATAAGCGTGAAATACCAGTTTAATGTTGTATTTGTTATGATGGTCTTTTTGCTGGTGAGGAGATATTTCATCTTGGTCCTCATCGGTGACAACGCATCTGCATTCGGTTCTTAATTAAGAGACCGTCTATGCCCTGAGCATTCACTTCTCCCACAGTTCCACTTCTCTTCTTCAGAGTCTGACTCCATCTTTTGTAGCCTATTTTTGTATATAAAAGTAATGTTTTTATATATATATATATATATATATATATATATATATATATATATATATATATATATATATATATATATATATATATATATATTTTTTTTTTTTTTTTTTTTTAAGTAAAAGCCTGTTTTATATACGAAATAAGGCTACATACTAATTCACTAAATATAATATAAACTGTATTTGGTGAATTAGTATGTAGCCTTATTTTGTAAATATGTAATTTGTCAGTGTATTCTACGTTCTAAACTAAACTGTTTTCTATTTTCTGTCTTAATTTATGAAACTGCTCGAAAGTTAACTCGTTATAAGGCAAACATCTTAATATCTTTTAAATTTTTAAAGCATCTAAATCATCTTAAGAACTTCAACTTCGCTTACCTACTTTAAAAATTTACCAAAGAACTCTATTTATTTAAAAGCAAAGTATGTAATTGAGGTTAAAGTTTTGGACGGGCCTTCAGGCTCTGTTAATAAATAAGCGTTAATAAAGTGTGTTGCAAAAATGTTATCAACTAAATAAATGAACGATAGATTGTATTTCAATCGGTTGGTCTCGACTTCACTCATACACATTCATCACACTGTTATGTTTTGTTGTATGTATATTGCGCAATGACTTCAATCAATCAATTAAAAAATCAATAACTTCAAAAAATCAATTTGAAACCGATTTCAATGGTCCTTTTTTATTAAAGATATCCTATGCTTCAAGGGATTGAAATTTAGAGATATTAGGTGATAAAGTTTTTAATGTTACTTTTAAATCTAAAAACAGTCCATTTAAAAGATTTTAAAAAGCCTAGTAGCCTTTTGCTAAAAGTACTAGAATTAAAAATAGTAAAATAATTTGACATACTAAAGTAGGACTTCAATCCTTCTATAATCTATGTCTTATCAAATTATAAAGTAAATTAAATCATCATCATTAAACGCTTTCGAAAAAAAAACAGCATCTCATAAAAGATAGTAGAAGAACTAAAACGTTTATAGTAGTTATGTTTTTATTTTTCACACAATGATCTATAGCTAAAATTTTCTTATCTTCTTTTCCTTCTTTGTCCTCAGGTTGTCTTCTAGAGGGCTCACGACCCCCACCCGATGTGCCACCGCGCAATCCCACCATGTCTCGTCTGAACGGCCGTATCACCGGCAATCCAGCGGATCTGGCTGACTTCGAACCTTCCTGTCTCGTTCGCACGCCTTCCGGAAATTTCTACGTGCCTTCGGGTTAGACAAATATAAATAATATTATCATATATTCCCTTAGTAACTACATCAATTGCAAAAGAGTAATTTGGAACTATAATTTACCAGCGTTCTTGGATGGGGCTGTTAGGAGTTTGTAGGGTTAAACCCTGCCATTACTCACAATCATTATTACATTATGAGTCGCTTAATATCTTAAGCATTGCTTACGTGATTTCCGTTTAAAGATGCAACGTTAATTGCAGGAGATATTCAAAAGAATCCGTCTATGGACTACAAATCGAACTCATCGTGCAGTAGTCCAGGTAAACAAGAGAAAAGTACTTTGGAAAGAATGGACAGGAGTGATCGACATCCCGCGTTCGGGGCTCCTGTGCCGGTGCTTCCAGTGAGAAATAACTTAAGAGCCTCACACTTTACACCTGCCGCATCCCGATTTCATTTCAGAAAAGGTTTCTCATCGAGATGCACGTGGAAATGCACCGCTATAGTATTTATTGTACTGTTTGTTTTACTCTTAGCCATTGCGTCTTATATGTCAGGTAAGCACACTGCAACATATTACCATTTTGTAAATAATTATTTTTTAAACAAATTATTAACTAAATCGTAACTTTGTTTACAGCTTCCTATTTCGTCAACTGGTCTTACCAGAACTCCAAAGCATGTACAGTTATAGTTGGTGAGTCAACAGAGATTTTTCCAGCATCGAAAGCAACGACTCTGGAATCAAATAATAAATCTTTGGTTAGACCGCACCAAAGCTCAACATCCACTAGCTCAGGTAAAGAGGATCTTCACGTTCGCGCGCGTAGAAGTATAGATGGGCATGCTTCTTCTTTATCTTCCGTTCTTTCCACGAATTCTTCCACTTCTGTAGATTTGCATGAGCTAATCACTACGCCTTCTTTGAACACTGTTAGCTTAGAGCATGGTGTGTCGTCAGTTTTAAACAATGTAACTGACATTTCAAATGAAGACCATACGGACGGGGGCGAAGCTTTGGTGATCAGCAGTGTTGGTTTATCTCTTAACAACGGTGATCTAACAAATAATAACACCACGCTTAATATTCCGCATAATAATGAAAGTACAGCAAAAACAACGTCTAAATTTGAACAAACAAGAAGCGGAGATAATAAAACCAAAACCATACTAAACAAAAATAATCGGACTCCTATTGAACAACCCTTAGAAATTAAAAAAACTGTAAAAACCAAATCTGACATTGCGTACGATCCTGAATTAATGCAAAGTGATTCATTTCCATCTTTATATTCATATGGCGTTCAAAAGCTTCATTACTTAAAACTACTAACAAGACTGAACGAAGTAAATGAGGAATTACATATATTTTCAAATGACACTGTCGAAATGGATAATAAACCAGAAAAATTCCATTACGACAGTGACCGCAATCCTTCTTTAAACATTCTTACTACCATTGCTCCGAAAATAATTACACCAGAGCAAACAATAAGTACAAATACACCCGTAACCATGAAACCTTTACTTGATGATACTGATGTCCCTTTGACAACAAATGTTTTCACTGCACATACTGAGCATGTTGTGTCATCACCAAATGATGCTGTTGCTAATAATGTTTTGAATGGAACTGCAACCACTGAACCCACAATCTTACCTAATGAATCTTCCACGCCTGATATTGTTGTTAATTCAAGGACACCAGATGTTATGTCTAACAAAAAACATGTTTTGATTAACCTGACAATATCTGCTGATGATGCTGAAAATTCTTCTTATAAGCCTCTCTATTCATTAGCAGTAACTGTTCCTACAATGGGTGACACAAATGAGATTCCAACAGTAAAAATTACTCCTCTGGACTTGGAACCCACAAAGCCGACGAACTTTAACAAACCTGTGGTTGTTCAAAGCACGACTAAATCGAATAAAGATGTAGACGTAGAAAACAATTGGGGGGGTAGTTGCGAATGTTCATGTCCAGTGTGTGAAAGTAACTCTGCCGATGATTTCTATGAAGATTCTGAGTCTGAAAGAAGCACTACAATTTCATCAGAAAATACAGAATCAAGCTCTATTCCAAGTCCAGCACCCGACAGTAACGAATATACAACAGAAAATCTTGGTGAAACGCAATCGAATACAAGCCCGGAAATAACGACCGAACTAGACAGTTCTTTTGAATATTCACTCAGTACCGAAATTACGATGGCAACGGATTTAACTGAGAGTACAATCGATTTAACAACTGACCCACCGGACATAATTTCTACAACAGAAATTCCAAAGTGTGTTTGTCCGAAAATTACACCTCCACCCATCCTTATATTGGAAGGTGAGGTCTTCAAAATAAATTTAAATAACAATAACTTACTAACATCTACCTAAAATCATCAAACTCTAAAACCATGACATTACAGAATCACCGTTTTGTATAACCTAATAATTAGCATGGATATTGGGAAATTTCATTACTGCTTTTTTTATAATTTGCCCGTGCTTTATAGAACTAATTTTAGAAATTGCAACATGTAGTACATATTTCCTCTTATGCGACTTACTAAAAATATATTCATAATCATTACGATAAATTGTAGGTGGCATGATCCTCATTAAAAAATCATCTCTCGCTCGTCTTTAATGAACGAATTCGTATAGATTACGTATCATATTTTATTTTATAGGTGCCCGGACTTTTCCAGCCCAGTCCTTCCCACCTGATGGAACAACTTTCAAACAAATAACTTTAGGTGAAAAATTATCAAAACAAATCCCTCCATATAGTTATTGGAACATGCAGTTCTATCAATCAGAAGCCTCTTACGTGAAATTCGATTACTTGATACCTCGAGGGGCTTCTATAGGTGTTTATGCAAGAAGGAATGCATTACCCACCCACACCCAATATCATTTTCTGGAAGTCCTTAGTGGATTTAAAGCAAGAACAACTAGATCGTCACATGTAAGTAAATTAACGAAGCATGATTTTAAATTTGACCAGGTGATTTGATTGCGATTTACATTATAATTTCAAATACCTTACAGCCATCTGTTAAAAAAGAAGTAACACATTACATGGAGCAAGGTCATTGGTTCCTATCACTTTATAATGATGACGGTGATCCGCAAGAGATCTCCTTCATAGCTGCAGTCGCTGAAGATATGACGCATAACTGCCCTAACGGATGTTCAGGAAAAGGGGAATGTCTTATGGGTCACTGTCAATGCCAACCAGGTTTTGGGGGTGATGACTGTAGTGAAAGTGAGTAATCGTACCTTAACAACGTCATAACGTTAATATTAGCTATAAATATGTATTTCCTAATGCTGTTTTATAAAATTATAGGTGTGTGTCCGGTACTATGCAGCCAACGAGGTGAATACATCAATGGGGAATGTCAATGTAACCCTGGATGGAAGGGCAAAGAATGTTCCTTGAGGCACGATGAATGTGAAGTGCCAGACTGCAACGGCCATGGTCACTGTGTAAACGGGAAATGCTCTTGTGTGCGAGGATATAAGGGCAAATTTTGTGAAGACGTTGATTGTCCGCATCCAACTTGTTCCGGACATGGCTTTTGTATTGAAGGTGCTTGCGTTTGCAAAAAAGGTTGGAAGGGGTTGGATTGTGCAACAATGGATAAGGACGCTTTGCAATGTCTGCCCGATTGCTCAGGTCATGGAACATTTGACGTTGATACTCAAACTTGCACTTGTCATGCACGATGGTCGGGAGATGATTGTTCGAAAGGTAAGTTAAAAAGTTACTTTTCAAAATTATAACGTTCCTTTTATTTTCTTTTATAATAACACCAAATTAAAGACATCATATATTACATCTATATATCAATACTAATATTCCAGAGGTTTGTGATCTCGATTGTGGACCACACGGACGATGCGTTGGAGAGTCTTGTGTGTGCGATCAAGGATGGACCGGAGAATACTGCACATCGAAGCTCTGTGACGCTCGTTGCAGCGATCATGGCCAATGCAAGAACGGAACATGTCTATGTGTTTCGGGCTGGAATGGCCGCCATTGTACTCTCGAAGGATGTCCAAGGGGATGTGCTGGTCATGGTCAGTGTAGAGTTGCTAATGATGGCCATTGGGAATGCAAGTGTTTCGATGGCTGGGATGGGCCAGATTGCACCACACTTAAGGAACAAATATGCGACGACTCTAAGGATAATGACAAAGGTAATAAGGATATACAATACCAATATTTAAGATGGTAGTTTGATGTTTGGTAACGTGCATTTGTACACTTAAACATCTAAATATTTAGTTAAACGAATTTAATGAAGCCATTAACTTTATTATTTATTCAGATGGTCTAGTGGACTGTGAAGATCCGGAATGCTGTCAGAGTCCAGCCTGTAAAGGCAGTCAACTTTGTGTATCTTCCCCCAAGCCAACGGACATTCTACTCAGAAAACAACCGCCCGCTATCACCGCGTCATTCTTTGAAAGGATGAAGTTCCTTATAGACGAAGGTAGTCTCCAAAACTACGCAAAACAGGAGACATTTAACGAAAGGTGAGGATTTAGCTGTTCGGTGTTATTTGTTACGTCAAAAAGCAAAAATAAGGATCACTTGACGTGTTCATAATGCATAAGCTAACTTTTAACACACGTCAAGCAATCTCTTATTCTCAGGAGCTTTTAAACACAAATATAACAGGAAATATCTATTATATAAGATACGCAATGTTGTGCCCCAGTCAATCCTAATGTTTTATTTATGAAAATGTTTCACTGTTTCGTTTCTTTTCCTTACACATTGTAATAAAGATAAGTTATTTTATGTTTATTATAATGAAATGTACTGTAAAATTAATATTTTCTTCAAAGGTTACTTAATTGGCACTTGCATGAACATGGATTTATTTATCGAAAACCAAGCTAAGCACATCGCTGCTACTAACGTATTTTTAATTTTCTTCTTCCTTAATAACAATGTATCTAATGGTACTCATTCTTTGTCATTTCTCGTCTTTCTGCTGCGCAGTATGTTTTGGAACCACTTCAACACGAGGTAAGATCTAGTCAGATTTAGGTAGGATTGTGTGTGTCCATTATTATAATATAATATCATCTATTTTATTACGATGTACTTTGTACACATTTATATAATTGGTTCGCGGCTATTTACTATAATTACATATGGTTTGTGCATGACTATTTATGTATAGATACCTACAATCTTGTCCTGTGAGTTTTGTGTTATGCTTTTTATTAAAATAATATTTATAATGTATCACAATATAAAAGTATTTAATATTATGTAGGTAGAGTAGGTTAAACCACAGCCCTGTATTAATTGTAGACAAAAAAGATTAAAATAATATTATTTACTCACGTGATGTCACTTCTATTTGGGCAGTACCAAAGTATAGTCAATTTATGGTAGATAAATAAATAGAACTCGTAGACAAATAATACATTTTAAATACCTTGCACAAAGAACTTAACTTGAATCTCTAGACCCTCAAAGCCCAAAAGTAATGTTGAGTCGATGCAAATCGTAAATTTATTCACAGTAATTTATTTTCTTAAAATTTTGAGCACAGATTAATTATAAAAGATTTTTTTGAAATTTTGCTTTAACTATGAGAACAAAATTATGACCCTAAATCTACACCTTTCCAGCCGATCTGCGGTGATCAGAGGTAGAGTTGTGACTTCGTTGGGATCAGGCTTGGTTGGAGTCAGAGTTTCCACTTCTACTCCTTTAGAAGGATTCACACTGACTCGCGAAGATGGTTGGTTTGACTTGTTGGTGAACGGTGGAGGAGCCGTCACTTTGCACTTCGGAAGAGCGCCTTTCAAGAGGTCCACACAAGTTGTGTTCGTGCCTTGGAACGAGGTTCGTAAGATACTCTGACAAATAACTTAATTCGACAGCTGATTATTAGTTTTAAGTGACATGATTATCAACATTGTCATCCATTTCTGGAAATCTCGCAGTATCTCGTGGGGATCCACGAGGACGACGAGCTGACATAAAAGTACAAGAAGTTAGATGAAATAATTCAGAAAGCTTTATTTTTATCCTGAAAAGCATCGTTTTAGTGTTTAATTTATATTTCCGCCAATATTACTTTGAACTATATGTTTTTCAGCTAGTTTTGATGATTTATATTACAAAATAGTTGAATAGTTCATCAGGTCACCGGCCGCTATTAATAAGCACAATTTTAAAAACTTTACTAAGTGCTCAATTTGCTATAAATATGATCCCTATTTAATTTAATCAAAAACTGTCCGTTTCATGTTGGTTTAATGTAAGCTTAAAATAAAAATTAATAAACCTCTTGAACGCTTGCTTATCCAATTCCCAAAGTCCCTTGACGTTAATAACTCTGGCAACTTCCACCAAAGTTCGTATGAAGCAATTTAATTTTTTTTTGCCGCTGCCGAAACATGCGAAGCGGCTATCAAAGAGGCATTAGGATTTTTCAACTCTCAATTTAACTTGAAACTTGATAAAGTTGTCTAAGAGTTTTTCGTAATGTCGCCTCACATAAAAGGTAATGACTTGTTACTAGCGACGTACCACTAGTGGTTTACCTTTTACCTTTAATCATTTAAGATCTCTCAGATATTTCATAGGCCTTCTGCAGATTTAAAAACTATTATATTCTTTATATTCTAATCTATTACTTACGGTGTGATATCCCATATCATACCGTGGGTGTCGAAAGCGGCGACAGAGGCTAATGATACTGGAAATGTGCAGCAAGCATCTTCGTGATAACAGCTTAAAATAAAAACAAACAGCGGCTGCAAACGCACTATGACGAATATCTTCGTCACAGATTACTGCATCTATGGGGGGGGGCGTATTTTCAATTAACGCCAAACATGCCCTGGAAGTTAGCAGTTTTAAAGCCTTTGGTCCTGCACCTGATCTCTATCCTATCGTGTCGGATTGAGCACTCGTGCACTCCATTGAGGCTGTAAATGCCCTTTCGGCTGTGAACCGCGAAGATCAAAGCAAATTCTTCTTACAACGGAAAAGACATGTCCAGCAGTAAACTTTAACGGATTGATGATGGTGATGTTGATTATTTGCGTTTCAGGTTGTGATTATCGACGAGGTGGTGATGACGACATCGGACGAGAAAAGTGGAACTGGGCCTCCACAGGCGTGTCTCGCCCATGATTACGACGCAATGAAACCTGTGGTACTGGCAACATGGAAGCATGGGTTCCAGGGGGCTTGTCCTGATAAGAGCGCAATCTTAGCGGAATCTCAGGTATGTGAAGTCAAAAATTTATTCTTCTGTCAATAAATTCCTCTCATATACACACACACTGTTTGATTAATCCGTGAAAGATGTTGGTCAAAAATTATTCCCAGATATCTTGTGTGTACAATTCATAAAATCCGCATCATCACATTGATGAGTTTTATTGAAGATTCAATAGAGGGCTGTGTTCTTTTATCTATAGTGAAGCAGATCTAGTTAGTTTTATTAACATTTAGTGTCAGTAGATTGTCTAAGCCATCTAGAGACACACAATAAAAGTCAGACTGTTTTTACAGTATTAGAATAACAAATGACCTTACAGTTCACATCATGGCAAGTGATTCATGCAGCCCATGGACGCCTGCAACCATTAAAATACATGCAAAAGGGTTCGAGTACGGCTTTCAGTTAATGTCGTGAACCAAATAAAACATAAGCATACTTAACATACATTACATATTTGGAGTAGTTGTCGCAAGTATTAGAATAGAATAGAATGAAATAATTTTTATTCAATATTGATTACAAAAATATTTATTGAGTCATTTTATGGTTTTACCGATGGTTTGGAGCAAACCTCTGTCCCTTAAGGACTAGCTAGCCACCCAGCGGACTTTTTTTATATTTATATACATTATGTAGATCAATCAAATACGTTTTTATGTTGTAGAATTATTTATCATTCATATTAAAAAGCGTAAGTATGTATAACACGGTCACAATATCTCTACACCTCGCTGGCATGCGATTCCCCTCTCGCGTCCTCCTTCACCACGCCGCGCTCGCCCCTCTCGAGTCAGTATGGTGACCATTCAATGGTCTAAGACTAAGAGAAATTACTAGTCTATGGGTGCGTTTGGCAGAAAAAAGCGCTAGCAAGCGCTTGTAAGCAAAATGGCGATCGTAAGCGGTAAGCGCTGTCAAATCGTAAGTAGCTATTTTCCTCCAGGACACGATGTTAGTTTTAACCGGGGAATCTAACCTAATTTAAATATATGTTTGTAAAGTATTCATATTAAAAACTTACCAATCATGAGTTTTTAATAGCATGTATATGTTTATTCATGTCATTATATTACTTAAAACTAATATTGCACAAAACAACTTATAAACTCTACTTCAAAACAAACAAATTAAATAAGCAAAATGGCGGATTGTGTCAGCGCTACTGAAGTAGCAATTGTGTCCTGGCCGAAAACTATTTTAGCGCTTATAAGCGCTTGCTAGCGCTTTTTTCTGCCAAACGCACCCATTAACACTATATATAATTTGTAATTATTAATTACATTTTTATCACTGTCACTTATGTCGCTAAATAATAAATAATTTAGTTATAGTGTAAGAAAATTATTTTAATAAAAATGATATTTTTTGAATTCAATACTGTATTATTAACTTTCCATCACTAAAACAAAAAATCATACATAGGAAAATCTAATCTTGTATTATTTGTTGTCATTTGTTAATTAATAAATATATATTTATTAAAATCCTTCTATCTAAACCTCATACATATGCTTCCGGCAGTCGGGTAAAAAATATCATATTTCTAAAGATGTTTATTTAGGACACAGCGAAATGCAGAGATAATGTTACCAAGTTGTAGTGTTCATTCAAAACACTCTTCAAACAAAGAATATGCAACACATGTTTTGTCAGACCAAGACAGAAACATTACGTATAATAAAAGTAACATCGAAACCATGCTCGGTTTATTGTAAGAATACGCACTCACGCACACACACAACCATGTTGTTCCGTCCGTTATGTGTCCAAGATAGACTTGCTTTGTTAGTTTGAGCAGCTTCTAATTATACGGCTCCCCTTCGAACCCTTCGAACTAGAAATAACAGTGGAAGGACTGCTGCACTGCGACAGAAGTAGTTAAGGGATGGTATCAACACAAAGAAATTCTTACCCATAATATGAATGGAAACTTGATAGGAAAAATTTCAATTTGTTTCCAAGTTCATTAACAAAACTTTAATCTCCCTGTATCGGTTTCAGGTGGTACAAGAAAGTCTACAGATCCCAGGCACAGGCTTAAACCTAGTCTATCACAGCTCAAGAGCCGCTGGTTACTTATCCACAATTCAACTGCAACTTACACCAGAAAAAGTTCCGCCGACCTTAGCTCTTATACATTTGAGAATCACTATAGAAGGAATACTTTTCGAAAAGACATTCGAAGCTGACCCGGTTATCAAATTCACATACCCTTGGAACAGGCTCAACGTGTACAGGCAACGAGTATATGGGGTGACCACGGCACTGGTGAAAGTGGGTTACCAGTACACTGACTGTAAGGATATAATATGGAACGTGCAAACAACCAAGCTTAGCGGCCATGATATGAGTATATCCGACGTGGGCGGATGGAATTTGGATATTCATCATAGATACAACTTCCATGAAGGTAAGCGTTTATTTCAGAATTATTTTTTACATAAAAACAATATTTTTATATGCCATAATAGACGGATATAATTGCAGATTCAAAAACATTCATGTTTTGTTTAACATAAGAAATGGCACACAAAGATTAACAGGGAAAATAAGTTTACACTGTATTTAAAAAAAACTATTAATATTTGAAACGTTTAATAAAGGCAAAAATATATCGTTCACGATATATTTTTGCCTAACTTCAAGTTAAAAAAAGTTACCGTGTAGTGGCGGCGTAGGAATATCCACTCCCCCCACATCATCATTTGGTATGGTTCTTACCTACATGATGATGTGGTAGGCGACAGAGGGAAACAAATCAAGAGCTGGGCGGCAACGTCTTCCTAATAACGACTATAAATAAAGAATTGCCAAGCGTGGCAGCTGGCAGCTGTTGCAGGCACCTGTGACGGTAACGGGAGTTGAAATTTAAATAAATAATTAAACTATATTTTACGACTAATTTTTCTCGTCCAATTCCATGGATTAGTTTTAAACATAAGCGAAATCGAAAAGAGTATTTAATTCATAGACAACAGAAAAATCTCCAAACAATACGAGCCTAAAATGTTCAAGAGTATTATTCCAAATTTCTCTCAAAAATTAATTATTTCTATTTTTTAATTTTTGGCTACTGTGGTGAAGTTGCAATAAGCTGACATTTCCTCTACATGTTTAGCGCAAAACGGAAATACTCATCTTCCTAAATTCGTTATCATGAATCCATTACTGTTTAACTGTTCTCAAATTTCTTTCTTCAAGCTACACAATCAGAAACGTAAACGTTTAAATTAGAAATTTGTAGATTGTACAAAAGTTAGTTTCATCCAGGTTTTGCAGCCAAAGCCCTAGGTTACTAGACTCACACAAATAGAATTTTGTGATCATCTAAAATATTTCTTAAATAATTTCTCTTACTTGAAGAATGATAACAATTAATAACAAGTATTCATTGGGACAAGGCTTTTTACGCCTACCATGCGTTTTATTCACCTTTTTACTCTCTTCTTTAGGAAATTTCTTACGTCCTGTGTAATATGCTTCTTTTATCCTTTTTTAAATAAAAGGCCTTCAACGTCTTCCCTTTTACGAGATATTTACGTTCTTTCAGCTAGAAAGGTTTTTATGACATCTTCTCTGTGAGAAGGTTTCCTGCGTCGTCATTTGCGAGAAAAAGAAAACTCTCTTCTAGCTTCACGTCCTCTTTGCAGTTTTGCAATGTCCGAAAAAATAATTTCTGGCTAGATCATCTTTTACAGAAAGTAGAGAGAGCGCCTATGTGCTCTCTGTCGTGTTCTATCTTACTTGTGTTCCTGTGTTCGCGGGGAGCTGTACATGTGAGGCGTGTCGTTACAGGTATCCTGCAGAAGGGCGACGGCACGAACACGTACCTGAAGCAGAAGCCACGGCTGATCATCACGACGCTGGGCGACGGGCGGCAACGCTCGCTGGAGTGCGGCGGGGCGGTCGGGGGTGCGGGGGCAGGCTGCGGTGCGCGGCTCCTGGCGCCGGTAGCGCTGGCAGCGGCGCCGGACGGCGCGCTGTACGTGGGCGACTTCAACCTGGTGCGCAAGCTGGCCACTGACGGCACCCTTCGCACCATCGTCAAGCTCAAGTCAGTTCCACACCGAGCCATTTTTTTAATTTGTTGATGTGCATATGTCTTTCAATATACTTATTAATAAAATTCGAGTGACAAATGAGCACTCAGTCCATCAGATGATATGCGGATGTTGTGGTCTATAGACATCTACATCCATCCTCGATTAAGAATCAAATTATAGATGCGTCGGTGAACTTGGAATAAAATACGTCGGTCCCATTAAAAAGAATCTATGATATATCTATAATATATCTATAATATATCGACATTAAATTTCCCTTAATGTAATTGGCGACCACAGAGGAAAAATTAAAGACAGAATCGTAAGGACTTTGAAGTTAAAAAAAATATTCTATTAATAATAACAAGAAACAGCTTTTTTCACCTTCAAATAGATTATTACAATTATTGTCGGTAAAAAAGTAAATAAAAACATTTATTTGTTTTATAATATACTTATATTAAATCTTTAACTTTTAGAATTTTAATATTCTCAATTTGTGAGGGACCTATAAATAAAAGCAAATATGTTACAAATTTTTAACATGATCTTAAGTTATTTAATTCCTAAAACTCGGTCTGGCCTTTGGAAATTTTAAAAAACATATTGTTTCCTTCTTTACAGCGCTACTCGAGTGTCGTATCGTTACCACATGGCACTATCACCGCTAGATGGTACGCTCTACATTTCCGACCCCGAATCGCACCAGATTATCAAAGTACGCGACACCAATGACTACAGTGACCCGCAGCATAACTGGGAAACTGTGGTTGGCTCCGGTGAAAGATGCCTTCCAGGTGATGAGGCTCACTGTGGTGATGGCGCATTAGCAAGAGATGCTAAACTAGCATACCCCAAGGGTGTGGCTGTCTCGATTGACAATGTCCTGTATTTTGCTGACGGTACAAATATTCGTATGGTTGACAGAGATGGCATTATAACAACTGTGATTGGAAATCACATGCACAGGGCTCATTGGAAACCGATACCATGCGAAGGCACACTAAGCGTTGAAGAGGTCCACTTACGCTGGCCAACGGAACTAGCTATAAACCCACTCGATAACAGCCTCCATATTATCGACGATCACATGATTTTACAAATGGCACCCGATGGTCGAGTAAAGGTTATCGCTGGTAGACCACTACATTGTCCTTCGCCATTGACTGGGTACGACATGGAATTAGCGACTTACGCTACCCTTGTTATGCCACAAAGTATAGCATTTGGTGCAGCTGGAGATTTATACGTAGCAGAAAGTGACTCTCAAAGAATTAATCGAGTCCGTCTTATTACCACCGATGGAAAAATAACTTTGTACGCTGGCGCTGAATCGAAATGTAACTGCTTAGAACGTGGTTGTGACTGTTTCGAAGCTGATCATTTCCTTGCGTCAAATTCTAAATTCAACACTATCTCAGCAGTTGTTGTAAGCCCGGACGGTATTGTCCATATCGCCGATCAAGCCAACTATAGAATTCGTTCAGTTATGGCAAGCATTCCAGATGCAAGTGGAGCTAGGGAATACGAAATCTATTCGCCTGATACCCAAGAAATTTATATTTTCAATAGATTCGGTCAACATGTCATGACTAAAAACATCTTGACGGGTGAGAACAACTACGTATTTACATACACGGTCAACACCAGTAACGGAAAACTAAGTACCGTTACAGATGCAGCCGGTAATAAAGTATTCCTCTTACGTGACTATTCTAGTCTTGTCAACTCGATAGAAAATACAAAAGGACAGAAATGTAGACTCAAAATGTCCAGAATGAAAATGCTACAGGAATTACGAACTCCGGATAACTTTAATGTAACCTTCGACTATCATGGTACAACTGGTTTATTAAAAGCCAAATACGACAGTACAGGAAGAAGCTACATTTACAAATACGACGAATTCGGAAGACTCACATCAGCGGTTACTCCAACTGGCAGAATCATAAATTTGACTTTCGATCTCAGTCTCAAAGGTGCTACTGTAGTAGTCAGTGAAAATAACCGGAAACCAATATCAATTCTAATAAAGGGTTCATCAGTTAATACAAAAGTTGGTGAGGCAGAAAAGAAAACGATTATTACAACAGATGGAAGTATTTCGTCAAGCTTACCGTGGGGACATGTCGTCTCCACTGATACGGTACCCTATACTATTTTGTCAGAGATAGATCCCATTCTAGGTGAGAGCTACCCAGTACCAGCTAAACAAAGAACTGAAGTCGGTGGTGATTTAGCAAATCGGTTCGAATGGCGTTATTTCTTAAGAAGGCTTCAATCTAACAAAGGCAAAAGCAATAAAGCAGTGGCACAGATTGGCCGAAAGCTACGTGTGAATGGTGAAAACCTTCTTACTTTGGAATATGATAGAGATAGTTCAACGGTAGCTGTGTTTATGGATGACAAAGTGGAACTTCTTAACGTAACCTATGATAGAACAGCAAGACCAGTCAAGTGGAGTCCTAGAAGCGGCATTTTCGCCGAAGTAGAACTTGATTACGACAGGTTCAATAGACTTACCAGTTGGCGTTGGGGAGATCTCAATGAAACCTATGGATACGACAGAGCCGGTAGACTGCACGAAATACGCTATGGCGATGGTTCATCACTGGCTTATTCGTTTAGAGACATGTTCACAAGCCTACCACTGAAAGTGACCACCCCAAGGGGAAGTGACTATCTTTTGGATTACGATGATTCTGGTGCCCTACAGAATTTAACAACACCAAGAGGTCACATCCATACATTTGCATTAATGACTTCATTAGGTTTCTTCAAATATCAATACTTCTCACCAATGAATCGACACCCATATGAAATCCTATACAACGACGACGGTCACATCTTGGCTAAGATTTTCCCACACCAATCAGGCAAGATCCTTTACGTGTACGATAACACTGGTAAACTGGAGACTATACTAGCTGGGGCCTCTGCCATTCGTTATGTGTACCACGAAAATACTCATCTTGTTAAGAACGTCGAGATCACTGACCCCGACTATGAACTCAAACAAGATTATAAATATCACGCTGGTATACTCAAAGACGAAAAAATGAAATTCAACTCGAAAAGCGGCCTGAACAACGCACATTTTAAGTACCAATACGACGGAAACGCGCGACTCTCTATGATTGACGCTAATATCAACAGTAAAGAAATGCCACAGCTAAAACTGAAATACAACCAGAACCTAGGCATGTTGGAAGCCGTCAGTGATCTTAGAATATACAGGAACACTTTCAATCGCTCCGTTATGCAGGACACAAGCAAGCAGTACTTCACGATCACAGACTATGATGACCACGGTAGAATCAAAACCGTCCTAATGAACATCAAATCCTTCGACGTCTTCCGTTTAGAACTAGAATATGACGTAAGGAACCGCATTAAAATGAAAAAGATGATGATTGGCGACACGTCATCAAGCGAACGAATCAGTTACAACTACGACGGGCACCTCATGGAGGTGGTCGGCTCCGAAGACGACTGGAAATACGTGTATGATGAAAATGGCAACGTGATCGGTGTAATTGAACGCGGAGAGAAACGATACTTAGGCTACGACATTGGTGACAGAGTTGTTCAGTACGGAGACTTAGAATTCAGCAGCTACGACGGACGAGGTTTTGTTATAAGACGCGGTGAACAAAAGTACAGATACAACTCGCGCGGTCAATTCGTCCATGCATTCGAAAGAGACAAGTTCCAAATGTGGTACTACTATGATGATAGGAACCGGTTGGTAGCTTGGAAGGATGATAAGAACAACATTACGCAATTCTTCTACGCCAATCCGCAAACTCCTAACTTGATTACGCACATGCATCTCCCTAAATCTGAAAAGACTGTCAGGTTCCTTTACGATCAACGAGATTTCCTTACTTGTATAGAAACTGAAGACCAAAGATTCTACGTCGCTACTGATCACAATGGATCACCACTCGTTGTATTCGACGTGAATGGAGAAATAGTGAAGGAGGTCAAACGTAGTCCATTCGGTAAAATAGTCAAAGACACTAATCCAGGATTCTACGTGCCCGTGGACTTCCATGGTGGTACACTCGACTATAATACCAATTTGGTGTACTTGGAGAGTCGACTATACGATCCAGTGGTGGGACAATGGATGACGCCAAGCTGGGAACACCTCGCAACAAAGCTGAGTTTACCGACCGATATCTTTATTTACCGTTTTAAGAACAACGACCCGATAAATAAGAACCAGAACGTTCCCTTTATGACTAACTTGGCTAGTTGGTTACAACTCTTTGGATACGATCTGAGTAAGATAATGGGATCCAAATACATCACTGATATGGTCTTCCAACCTATGACATCTGTAACTGCTCCTCAATTAGCGCCTGACTTCGGTGTGATGTCTGGACTTCAATGCATTATCGAAAAGGTATGCACACTAATTATTTTAATTGTTCGTTTAATTGCTATCTTTGTGGTTGATTTATTAAAAAATACTATTCTCTTGATTTTAGGTGAATGACAAACTATCAGACATAGACTTCGTGCCTACACCGCTGCTTAAAATGGAGCCTATTACAAGAAACCTACTACCGAGAGTGTCTTACAAGCGGGGCGTTTTCGGCGAAGGAGTACTGATATCTAGGGTCGACGGTAAAGCTTACATAAGCGTCGCCGATGGAGCAAACAGCGTCGTCGAAGATGTCATAACAACAGTCTTCAATAACTCTTACTTCCTCGATGTACACTTCAGCATTCATGATCAGGACGTGTTCTACTTCGTAAAGGATAACTCTTTGAAGATCAGAGACGATATGGAGGAGCTGCGGAGGCTTTCTGGAAAGTTTAATGTTTCTCAAGATGAGACTAACGACCAAGGAGCGGAGGTTTGTTTCAATATTTATTTCCTTAGTATTATTTTATTAGTGACATAAATAAACAGTTCTATTGAAGTAATGTGTATTGCGTACTAGAAGAGGCGGGCAACGCATCCAAGGCCTGGTGTGTTTTCTAGTACGAAGTACGTATTATTTTAGAACTGTGATCATTGAATGTTATTTATTCATAAAAAAAATAACATGATTTCAATAAAACTAGTATTTACGGATTGTATCGCGTATATTGACTTATTTTATATTCCCGAAGTTTCGAGCACTTTACAGCATCCATGGTCACTACTGAGGTGTTCGACGTCTCAATATCGTAGTTATCTTTAGACTAAAATTATTAATTTTTTTGTTAGACCTACACAGTACGCGTAGTGGATGCCCTCTTGTAACCATGGGTATTATAGTGTTCGAAAAGTAGGATATATAAAATAAGTTTAATATACGTAATATACTAGTGTTATTTCAATGTGTAGTGTTGGCGTAAACATAAAGTCGACGATGTCACTCTGTACTAATGAGGACATCTTTTAAGGCTTATAAGATAAAGTTGTTCAAGTAGTGATTATAAATATTTTTACTGCCTCTTTGGTCTAGTGGTTGTAGTGGCGCGACTACCGGGTTCGATTCCCGGGTCGGGCGAAAAAATTAATTATTTAGTTTTTCCGTCAATAAATTCTCAATAGCTGCCTGGTCAGAAAGTTGGCGGTATATCACCCCCGTGCTTCGGAAGGCACGTACACCCGTTGGTCCTGCGCCTGATCTCTCTACGGTCGTGTCGGTTTACTGTCCCATCGGAATATGAGAGTGAGGGAATAGAGAGTGCACCTGTGCTTGCGTATACACTTGGGCACTATAATCCTGGCCTGCGCCGATGACTTGTCTCCGTTGAGGCTGGCCGCCGTGACCGAAATTCGGTCTGCAGGACATTATTTTTATTATTGTAAATATTTTTCTTACTATCGCTCAGTAGAAAAAAACAAAATTAAAACCGTATACAGTAACAACCAAAGTAATATCGAAACGCAATTTGTTAAAGGTCTTTTTTGAGGTCTTTTTCTATTTCATAAATAACAACTGCTCGAAGCGTAGTAAAACTCGGATAGTTAAAAATGGAGTCCCGATGTTAGAAAGTGAGTACGCACAGGAGTTCGCAGGCTACTTCCAAACAGTTTATAGAAATGTAGCTCCGCAGCTGGATGCAACCGTCGCTGTGCAAACAGCGCCTGAGCGCGGAGCGCGGGTGCGCGTGGGACAGTTGTCTCTTAGTGACGTGCGTGCTGCCCTTGCGAGTCTTAAGCCCGAACGGTCGGTAGGTACAGACGGTGTGCCCCCTACATTGTCAGGGACTGTAGGATGGTACTAGCTCAAATATAACCTAATGCTGGAGAAAATGCAAAATAAGTTTACCCGGTACCTGTATTAATAGCAATACAGAGTTTACCCTTATCGTCTTACGTATCCAACCCTTTTTGTACTAGGTTGCATTGGCGGAATTTGAGAGGGTGACATTAAACTATTTATCATTTTTACATTAGTGACCACTCCTGTCACGTTGTGTTAGGAAATAAATAAATAAATAAAACTTTTGGAAATACACAAAAATTCAGACATTCCTATAAAGTTCTAAAATACATTCGATTCAGGTTTTTGTAGAAGTTCCTCAAGCTGATTTTCCATGCTTTCCCTATAAAAAAAGAAATCATATTTTTAAGGTGATACCTCGAAAATGTGGTGGTTTTTTATTTCACATATTTTTTTAAGTTTTATAGATTACAAACCAAAATTTAAGCATATGATTTTTGACTATATGGCCTTGGATTGTATAAAAGGAAAACACGATACCATGTAATTTTCTGGAATAGAAAAAAAATTGCTAAGTTAGCTCTAATTAGTTACATTTTTCCATGACACCACAATATTTTTTACGAATAAGTTCATGGAATTATTTTAAGGCACAGTAATTAACCATAGATAAGTTCTCATAAATCATTTTTTATTTCCATAATGAAGTTTTTTTTAAAATGTAGCTTGGCGCTTACTTAGTTTTTTCGAGCGTGTGCTCGGTATAGCTATCTCATAATTCGCGTATTATGAAGTCATTGCATCACTTTCATTTTGATACTCCTTTAGTAGTCCGTTAGCTTCACCGACAAGGGAATAAGCTACGCCCCCAAAACTACGATTCATTTTCAAGGTAATCCTTTTAAATATTTATGCATTTCATAACAACATTTACGTTAAGATACGTTAAATTTCAAACAGATATAATAATTTAAGTTAGACTCAATTCTAATCTTACGTAAATTTTCTTACGTTTTTTTATTTCTATGAATACTCAGCATCCACCACATTCTTTTCTGTTTCTTCTTTTTAATATTTTTACTGCGGAGTACACTGACATAATAATTATATGTATTCATTAAATAAATAGCAGAACCTGCAATAACTTATACATAGTCCATATCGTTCCAATTCTCAATGACAACATGTGGATAGCTCCACAAAAACTCGTCAACATTGGCCTTGGCATTGGTCTCTTTTGAACTTGACCAACGTTTTTTTTTATAGAAGAGGGGGCAAACGAGCATGCGGCTCACCTGATGTTAAGTGACTACCGCTGCCCATGATCAACCGCAACACCAGGGGAATTGCAGGTGCGTTGCCGGCCCTTTAGAAAGGAGTAAGCTCTTTTCTTAAAGGTCCCCAGGTCGTATCGGTCCGGAAAAATCGCCGGTGGTAAACTATTCCACAGAGAGGTTGTACGCGGAAGAAAACTCCTTTTGAAACGTACTGTGGTGGACCGCCAAGCATCCAGATGGTGTGGATGGTATTAGGACGTTTGCCGCGTAGTGCGTTCACGAAATTTGGCGGCTGGGATTAATCCGAACAATTCCTCAGAGCACTCTCCATGGTATATGCCAAATAAAATGCAAAGAGATGCAACATCTCTTGGCAGTGCCAGTGAATCGAGCCGATCGGAAAGCATTCGGTCGTCGACGATTCGAGCTCCATGTGCGGCCGAACCTGCGCCTTGTAAAGTTGCAGGCGGTGTGCCGGCATGAAATACTGTCCCGCTCTGCTGAGCACGCCAAGCTTTTTAGAGGCCAATTTGGCCTTCTCTTCCTAGTGACCACGAAACTGCACGTCTCTCGATATGTTAACGCCGAGGATTCCGATACTGGCTGAGGCAACAAGGGGAGTGCCTTGAAACTGAGGAGATACGACAAAGGGGTTCTTTTTAGCGGTTAACGCGCAAACTTGTGTCTTCTGGGGGTTAAATTGGACTAGATTTAGTCGCCCCCAATCCGAGACTCTGTTCAGCAAGGACTCGACTTCAAACACAAGTTTGTCCCGGTACTCGGAGACGTTTTCCCGAGAAATATTGGCTCGGCCGGTGTAAAGAGCATCACCAGTGCTGTCATCCGCATAGCAATGAATGTTACGGGTTTGCAACATATCATTGATATGCAGAAGAAACAGCGTTGGCGATAGCACGCAGCCTTGTGGAACACCAGCATTAATAGGCTTGCAATCGGAGCTTGCACCATCTACAACGACCTTGATGCTCCGATCTGCAAGAAAGCTGGTGATCCAATCGCACAATTTCTCGGGAAGCCCATAGGAAGGAGCTTCGAAAGAAGCGCTTTGTGCCAAACCCGATCGAGGGCCTTCGCAATGTCCAAACTAACGGCCAATGCTCCCCCTTGGACTCTACTGCCTCCGCCCATCTGGGAGCTAGGTAGACCAGAAGATCACCAGCTGACCGACCACGGCGAAAACCGTATTGGCGGTCACTAATCAGCTGGCGATCCTCAAGGTACCTCATGAGCTGGCAGTTTACAATGGACTCCATTGTTTTGGAGAACAAGGAGGTGATGGCGATTGGCCGGTAGTTGGACGGGTCTGAGCGGTCGCCTTTTTTAGGGATCGGGTGAACGAAAGCCGTCTTCCATGATTTTGGGACTACTCCTAGGGAGTAGGAGCACCGGAAAAGACGCGTTATAACCGGTGCCAACTCTGGAGCACACGTCCTCAGCACAATTGGGGGGATTCCGTCAGGCCCACTCGACTTGTGGATGTCCAGGGAGAGGAGTGCTTTGCAAACCGAGCGCTGTGTGAACTGCACTTCCGGCATGGAGCACTCACGCCGCGGGATGGTCGGCGGCGTACTCCCCCGTCATTAATTTGCCTATGTTCACGTTGGTTGAGGCTTGGCCAACATGTATTGCCGGGGTAAGAAATGGTTAGGTGATAAGATGTGACTACGCTTGTGCAGGTGCGGGTGCACGCCGTGGGCAGCGGGTCAGCGCAGGCGGCGATCGTGCTGCGCTACGGCGTGGACCCCGCGGCGGAGCGCAGCAAGCTGCTGAAGCACGCGCACAAGCGCGCGGCGGCGCGCGCTTGGGAGCGCGAGAAGGCGCTGGTGGCGGCCGGCTGGGAGGGCCGCGCCGCCTGGACAGAGGAGGAGAAGGAGGAGCTCATCTCACACGGCGTGGTGGACGGCTGGGCCGCGCGCGACGTGCACTCACTGGCGCGCTTCCCGCAGCTGGCGGACGACCCCGCCAACATCGTGTTCGTGCGCGACGGCCGCCGCAAGCGCAGGAAGAGCGGGCGCGCGCGCCATCGCTCGTGACTTCCTTCCGAGTCTCACGACACGCCATGCACGGCGTCCGTCAAATTTTAACATGACGTCACGTTCGGATTTAGTTTTTACTGATTTTAAAGGATTGAAGTTTTTTATGTCTCGATAAGAGCGGTTTTTAAAAAGTGAGTTCTACTCTAGAAAGTGAGTTATTTGTGACTACCTTGTAGATGTGTGCTCTGTGAACTACTAAAAATAACTTTTCGTACGAGAACGGAATGGATAGTTTAAGATTGGCTCTAGCAGGTCGGAAATTTTATTCATCGTGCGTTGAACAAGTCATAAATTGATCAATTTTTTTGCTACACGTACTTAGGCTTTTTAATTATAACTAATCCCATACGAAATATCAAAGAATCTCACAATATAACTCACAGGGTAACGAGTCGTGAACAATTGAAAATTAATAATGTAATAATAACTGAGCATAATATATGAGAAAATACTCAAAAACATCCTTGTATCACAATTTGCTTATGAATTTTTTTATATTCCTTTACCGTTTTAAATTAATTTTATCCTATAAAGTGATCGCTTAGATAATTTCTCAAATATCATGTATTCCTATCGTATTTTAGCCAAATATTTCGTTCTATCTATATACCTAAGTATTTGTAAATAGCATTTAATTATTGTAATTATTCATTTAGTAACATTTATTCTAAGTCCCTTTGATTACTTTGCAATACTATTACTATTTAAGCAATATTTTATACTTTACTAAGCTCGTCTTCGATTTAAATGACCCCAATTTTTTTAATACGAGTAAATAATTAGTGACAAGGATAATTTGAAACTTACGAAAATATTTGTTTCTCAAACCCCTCAAAAGAAGTATCTTTCTTTTAATGATTAAGTCTATATCATATAAAAACAATAGGCATTATATGAAATGAAATAATCTTATAATATTTTAAAAAAAAAACTTAGAAACACCGCCATTTGTTAACAATACATTTAATTCGATTTGATTGTATTGTGAAAATTAGTTTTTGATATGGAATTTACTTACTATGTATATTTTACTTTACATAATAATAATATATTTACAAATTAAACGTTTTCAGAATTTATCAAACATTACAGAAATTATGTAAATGGTTTCCTCATGATGCTAAAAAACCCTATGCGGCCTAAGATTATTCTTGAGTTTGTTGGCACAGAATCAGGAATTTTGAAACCGATGATGCTGTGAAAACTTACCAATTTTTTTAAAATCAACAATCATACATTATCACGTAGACATTTGAAGTCAATTGTGGTTTTTAATTGATTTATAATATTCATTTATCATATTCATAGAGTTCTTGACCTCAGAACATCAAAAAACGTTTTATAAAACTGAAACCCCGTAAGTCTTCTAATAAAAAAAATTGTTTAACTAATCTAATTGAAAACGTTTATACGTACACTCTGCATGTGTTGTGCAATAATCGAACGGTAGGTTTTACAATAAAATTTTAGGGTCATACCTTCTTGCTGACTTATCTTAGACTACATAATTTCTTAGAGACTGATGGTGAAAAAATACTCTTTATTTAACTTATACTTATTATCTGTGGTCATTGCGTACATCCCTCTCAAAAACAATATGTAAAGAAAACCCGGTGCGATCTGTAAGCTATCGTGATATGACAGAATCATATTCCAGAAGAAAAAAAATTAAAAAATTATTGAATAGTGACTAGGAACTTGCATAGCAGCAACAGCGGCGCGGGCGCCTGTGGGGTAACAATACCGCCATTTTATGTCATTGACCGACGGTGTTGCCAGATTTTAAAAATACAAATTGTAGTAAAAACATGTTTTTTTTTGTTAATGTCATTACAGTATTTTTGGATTGGACTGGGTTTCCTTCACTTAATGTATACATACTTTTTGACAGTTCATATTTTTAAAAGATTTGGACTTGTTAATATATTTTAGACGCATCAGTATGATATAAAAATGGTACGAATAAATCAGAATTAATTGCAGTATTTAAGATATATTCTTAGTTTTTCACTTACCCAATCCATCCTTGTTCATTCCAGTATTAGATATGATCTCGTTAAGACGCATTGACCTCAGTTAAAAATAATATTAAGATTGTATTCTGCGAGCGTTATCTTAATCATAAGTCAGTAAGAAGTTAAATAAAATAATGTAATTTAATGAAAGTAGATTTATAGTTTATGTCCATAAATGTGTCTCATTTAAATTGTGGTGTCTAATTCATGTTAGAGGTACTAATTTATATGCTAGTTGACTGAGTGGTTGGTGATAGGGCGCTAATGATATTTTTTACAAAAAGATATTATAATAAACAATGGGAAAAAAATTGTAAAACTATGGACACTTCCCCGGGTCCGAAGTAAATGACCCACGCGATGGTGATATTTTTGCAAAATGTGACTAAACGAAGCAATACTTTGTAATGTAATACGTCTTATTGTTTTTAATAACTATAAGGTGTAACTTTTATTTAAATTAATAATACAATTATATATATTATATTATCTATTGTGAATGTAGTTATTCATTTCGCGGTGATATTTAGTAGAGCGTATAGTTATCTTTTTTATGATGTATAAAGAATTCTAATTTGTAAATAGGTACTTAAAACTGTATCGTGTAAAAATATTGTACATATCTGTACGCTTGAATTATTTATAATGTTAATTTCATAAGGTTTTAGAGTACGGACTCTATTGTAAAATAGTGGAACATCCAAGGATGGTAATTTGAGGCTGTAGAATGAAAATCATATTAACTGATCGAATTAGCAACTTCACCACCTAAACATTTTACTAGCAACATTAAATAACATTTAATATTTTTTAAGAACCTCTTGCTTTTTAATAATTTTTGTAACTGCCACACTTGTATGGATTTTTAGGTGCCTTTTTACCGGTTGCTAAGGTAAAAGGTGAGGATATTTTAATAGGATGCCATCAACAACCTTACCATAGACAATTTAAGCTTCTAGACTTTTAGAGAGCTTCACAAACGCTGTCAAAATACGTCTAAAGTAGATCTAAATTTCTCGTGCTGAATCTAACACATTAATTTGTATTATTGTAGATACGATGCGTAGGTTCCAGAATATTCTGTGTATAGATAGTCAGCCTTCATACTCATTCGGGTGTGAACTCCTAGTTCATGGATGCGTGCGCGCTATATGAAAGGTGATGGAAGCATGTACAATAATAAATATAGAAAGTATTCTAATGGAATATGTAATAAAACATTAAAACTTACAATCTCTTTTATTTGCACCTTATAGTTATTACAGAATATTGCGGCAACACAATGGATTTCGTGAAATGGTATCAATCACATATTACATCCGGTATATTTTTGTTACTGTTATGAGCCAGTACTTTACCACTATCCCACCTGATGATGTGGTGATGCAACAGACGATAGCGAAGTGCACTGACTTAGCTTAACAAAAGCCTCTTTTGCTGTACGTATTATGAACGACCAAGCAAACCATTTGGTTCGAATGCGTGGTATGTCGGCAACAAAGGTCTAAAAAAGGTCAAAAAAGGAGTGTCTGATTGTCCATCGATAGAACGAAGAGAGGGGAATTAAATCATGTAATTTCTGCGCACGACGACGATGCACGCAAAGCATAGGTGTTCAAAGCCTAGGTGGCATTTTGCAGCAGCAGGCCGTATATTATGACAGTAATATTTCATGCACAACCGGACTATATATATATATATATATATATATATATATATATATATATATATATATATATATATATATATATTTGTTACAGTTAATAATTCTTCAATAATGTGAAACCTGAACCCAACATGGCAACCAATAAGAATTTATAAATTGCTAAAAAAATACGTCACTGTACCATACATCCATTACAGCCTATAAAAGTCCAGTGAGGAACATAGGTCACCCCCATTGTTGCCACGCTTGGTAGACGTGCAAAATATTGTTTATTTGTTAGAAAACGTCTTAAATCGGTACTTAAAATTGCCATTAACTATTTCGTAGATACCAACGGCGACCAGAAACGCGAACGTGTACTATGAAAATCTGAGCGAAGCGCTCGCTCTGAATCTGAAGTCCCTGAGCTTAAACGATTTCAATCAAAATCGTTATTACTTTAGTTCATCATAAGTCTACTGCTGAACATTGATTGCTACAAAGTACGGTACTTAGCCACCTGCATCCATCGACTGCCTGTGCCCTGTTTATCAAAACTCACAAGTATACTTGTTCACAAGTTACACTTTACAACAAAGTTTTTACAAGTTAGTGTAAATTACGTTTATTAAAAAAATCTACAGGGCTTGTAAAATTTAACACTTGTAGGTTCTACTTGTAAGTTCTAAAATCAAAAATGTATACCGCATTCTTTTCCCGACATTTTTTTTGCTTTTTTTTTTGAATATACCATACGCATGGCTGTATGATATATTATCTGTGCCTAATTTTGATGGGACATTAAAAAAGGGAGTAGCACAGGTAGTAGGGACAAGGTATTCCCGCCTTTTATTTATAATTTGAAGTGTTATTCGCGGCGACATTTTGCGATTTCTTGAAAAATGTCTAGAAATGATAATAAAATAACGGTTTTACAACTGATTCAGACAAAAAGACATTTTATTTGCTGCATTTATCGGTAGGTGTCCAGACAAAAAAATAGAAGAGTGGAAGAATATTTTAATTACATGTCAGTCGCTTGGTCTGGTACCTGCAGGAAAAGATTACACCTGTGTCTGAGAAACATTTTTAACCTTTTGAGCGCCACGCCAAAAACGCATTACCGTGTCCTGTACACCAAAGCGAAAAGTAAACAAAAATACCTACGAAAAAAATAGTGTTGCCAAGAGTTGATATATCGATAACACAAAATAACTTGATTTTGTTGGTTTTTATGCAATAAATGACTCTTTATAATCTGATGTGTTTTATTTAATCTTGTGCTGTCTTCCACTCTTTTTATACAATGTGTCTGGTCACGACCTAGCGATAATTTA